TTTATTTTTCAATAATAAATAATCAGACAATGTGTACACGATAAATTTATATTTATAGTAATAGTCAAAATATATGAAAAATGTTGATTAAAACAAACGCATATTACAACAACACTTTCAAAAGTCGATTATTCTTAAACATTGATCAAGAATTAAAGTTATAAAACACTAAAAACTAGCAAATTCATACCTTCAAGACACTAGATTGGGTACTCGTTGATGTACTACAAATTTATAAAACTATATTGATTGATTTTCATAACATATCCTTACATTTAAATAATGTGAATGAATAATATGACATTCATATTCACTGATTACGAAATATTGACATTTGCAGTTCAGTGTTTAAGTATGATAAATATTAATTCTTAATACTGGTAAATACAGAAAAATTCATAAAAACTTATAGCTAAATTATATTTTATGTACTTGTTGTGTGTTTAAAAATGTTATTATTTTCATAAAAATATAATAACATAAAGAAATATGGGTTAATTTAACATAATTAACATAATTCATTTCGCTGAGGGATTTCTGTTTTGATATGTATGTCATTCAAACATATTTTTGTATTATTTATGCATAGTAGTGTAGACAACTTACTATCAAATTCTGATTGAAAAAAAGTCAAATCTTCACAAACGTTATGCTATTACACAACGTGATAAATTATGATGCAACGGACTGATACTCAACAAGCTACAAAAGAACAATATTACATTTTGAAATGACATTCGATAGAATGTTCATATTTTCTAGTATTATATTGTATTTTATATTCTGAAATGTACACAGCCTTTGAAGTTATTTATTTATTTTTGGCTTAACACAAAATAGTGATTTGTTATACTTATGTTTGAACAGTTGGTGATTACCATAATTATAACTTTAAGAAATCATTTAATAATAATAAACTCACCATTTAGAATATAGAATTATAAGCCAATAGTAGTACGGCGTATAATATAAACTGTAATAATTAGGATTTAAAAAATTATTTTTGTACAAAATATATAAAAAATATAATACAACTTATTTTAGATAATTAAAATAAATGTCGAATAATATATATTAAATGTCAGTCAAATGTAGAGAACCTCTTAAGTATCTCTTCCATACCAAAAATCTGTAATTTTGACATGATACAACTTATTTCATAACTATCGTATTAAACTAAAAACTAGTTTAAAAAATAAGTTGTTCAAATTAAATTTAAATTAAAGTGCTCCTTAAAATCATTGTAATGCGTAATATCACCGATGTGTATACAAAAAACTAGGTTATGGAATAAAAACAAACATATACCTACCTATTATAATACGAATAACTCCAACCACGGAATCAATTCTGACATGTTACTACAAAGTACAAAGTAAGTGAAAATCGAATTAAAAATATTATTTTATAATAACGAAACATGACGACAATACATTTCGGAGTTCAATGACTATGACCATAATAGATTTATAAGAAATAAAGACTATAAAATACGTGTGTCACGGCATCCAGTAATATTTTTTCAATTTGTAAAATACAATCCTTTTTTTTATAATACATTTAAACAGTACAAACTATTTACGATTAACATTTCTAAGTGCCAAACTGCCAACCAATCATATAGGACTTTATACCTTCTGTATAATATACGTATAGGTACTAATATTAGATCGGTTCTATTATACCTAAATTCGTTTTATTTTTATAAGTATATATAATTCATAAATATAATACTAACCTAACTATTTATATTTAGGTCTATTTAAATAATTTATTTTGTGGAATTAAAAAAAAAATATGTAAAAAATTATGGTCAATCTGTGTTGACGTAAAAACAATAACAAATTATGATCGATGCATTTTTTAAGTTAAAAACTTTTAGAAACTTGAAGTTTGATATTAAGTAGAAAAAATATGAAAATTAATAATTAAAAAGTTTAATATTTCCTAATTATTTTCAATGTGCGTAAGTTTTTATGGCCAGTATGCAAACAATAATTTGAGAAAATTGCGTATAGAAGGTACCTATCACAAAATAGCATAATTTTACTCTGAAAACTCGTTTTCTGTACCATCGCAAATAAATTATTTGCAAAATGTTATGAATTTGTAACTTTCAATAATTTATTTACTGTGCAAATTGTTCCAACTACAAGTTACAACTACTAGTAACTGTCAGCGAATATAATAAATATAATAAAATATTTCTATTATTACATACCTTTGATTAAAAAAGTAGATATTTCTGATAAAAAAATCTTTTCTAATTAATTGAAAAAAAAAAGAGTTACCAACTGAATAGTAGAATAATATATGTGACATTAAAATGTAAAAGGAACACTTCTATACGCAATAATTTTTCCGTAATTTTACATGACGCCGAAACTACTGAACAAGAAAATTACCCCTCTAAGCTTTTAACTATTAAATGAACTTTTCGATTCATACACTGCAGTTTGAAACTTTTAGAGTTTTTATATAACTGAATAAAAAATGAAAAAAAGAAAAAAAAATCCCAAAAAAAGTAACCACTGAAAATAATCATTACTAAACAAAAACATTTCTCGCTTAGATTACAATCTAACAGTTGAATTTTATAAAAAATAACCAGTTGTAAAAGTATTATATTTTTGAAAATGTACACTATTTTCTTAATTATGTTTCTGTGTTCTAAAGTTTTTTTTTTTAACAGAAACAATTCTTTATTTAAATGTGTTTGTGTATTTTTAGAATATATTATAAATATAGTATTTCATTGTATTTTTATAATTGAAACTTCACTTTTATGTTATTTCATAATATTTAATACTCTTATAAGCTTTCTGAAGTCATAATATATATACAGGATGATATTTGTGCCGTAAAACAGAACACAATTTGTTTAAGAACAAATTTTGATAATTATTAATAAATTTAAAATAGTACATTATTCTTTTTTTTTTATTAAATTAAAGCCTGGCAACTTTGGCCATTACCTATTTGTAGGGGGAACGATTGGTTTGAAACTCGTATTATATACGTGGCAAAGAATTTTTTCGCTAAAAATGCTGGGTTTTCACACCGTTACCCACCTAGGAACTAGCAGCATATTATTCTTATACATTAAAATAAAAAAGTTTAAAGGTTCCTTATAATTTCTAAGATATTGCCTAGTTAGTGATAAAATAGAATCATTCTAACTACATTATAGTTTTAGTGGAGTAGGAGTTTGATCTAAATCTAAAATCATTAAAATAAAACAACTATCGAATAAAACGCTATTAACTAACTATTTTCGTGAAACGTCGTTAAAAACCATATCACAATGATACTACACTTAAAATCTATGATTCAACTTACGTATCCAATAAAAGATAATTTGCTTTAAAAATCATGACATCATGATCGTGATGTGTTTCTACGGTCGTTAACGAAAACGAGCCGTCAAAACAGCTGATGCGTTCTGTATTTTATCACGGATAATAACCTTAGACTCGTCTCCATTTTATCTCCAGTAAATAAATTAGTTACGTACAGTACACTATATAATATTATTACTCTCGTATAATGACGTATACATCACGTGTATAAAATAATATAATATTATAGAGGATTTCGTGGTTTTTCTATCCAATGTTGGCGGTGGTTTTAGCGTGTCCTAATCTATTGCGCTCGAGTGGTCACGAGGGTACAAAATGTGTAATATCTATATAGCCTATATATTATATACCAGCGTAGTAATTCACCAATATTATTATTTACTGTACGCACAAAAATACATACACAGCGTGACACAGCTATACTACCTGCTATGGTGTTGGTTATAATATTATTTTGTGTTTATTCGTCAGCACTATTTATCTACGTGTCCTCTCGTTGCTAATTATATATAACCTACCTATTGTATTATAATAATATAGAAGAGTCGAAATATCTGGACGCGGCTTGAGATAGCACCTATATATCCACTCGTTTGCGGAGAGTTGATCAAATATTTTATTATTATTTAAATCGTGTACGGCGTTGATATGTGTCATGGTAACGATCCATCGTGGACCGAAGTTTATAGTGTATTATGTTCGAAGTTGTAGGCATAATAATAATATACACGAGCCCCGTCGAACAATAAATTAATGGGCCATTGCGTTGTTGTTAATATGACGGCTTGAGACCCAAAATTAGCCGTTATGGTACATAATAATATATGCGAACACGTATGACACGTCGTACTTACCTATAACCCGTGTGGCTATTTAGTATGTGTTTGTGTGTAGACTATTATGCATTATACACGTAATAAATTGTAATGTTTATCCGTTGTCTCGGCCCATGTAATAAGACATAAGTTGTTGGAGTTTCAAATGGCGTTCTCGACAGTTAAACGAGTCAATATTGTGAGCAGGAATGACGCATTGGATATTATTTCATAGTACATACATATTATACAGTTCAAACAGCTACTGTTTTTTCTCTTAAATCCACTTTATCGACAGAAGTTAAGTGTACGCGCGTGATGTCGTAATTCGACCCCAGGAATAATTACTGACTTGTCCTTCTGCACAGTATATAATATACTTGGGGGGGGGGGGGGTTGGATTTTCGTCGTCACTTGCCTCATTTCGAAATCCAACAAGGGTTTAAACATTGACAAAAAATAAATTAACATGCTTAACATGGTTAAATAAATAGTTTGGACGAGCGTAGTATAGCACACCGACATTATGTGCGGTCCAACCCCGTGGAACCATCAACTCCACTAATTATTTAAATTTATTTGTTACTTATTAGCATTACTAAATTAAAATTTACAATTAATTGACACCTAGGTTGAATTTCGATTTTATATAACGAAATTAGTAACAAAATATTATATTTTAGAATACGAAATTAAAAATGTATGTTTTCATAAAAAAATTTTTAATTAAAAATGAGAAATGATAAAAAAAATAGTATGAACATAATTATTTTTCAAACATTTTTGTTTCATAATATATTCAAATAATGTAAAAATAATAAATAAGAGAATTAGGTGGGCCGGTCACGTCTGGAGAGCAGAGGACAGACTTATATCGACCATCACGAAATGGAAGCCAGATAAAAGTCGACCGAGAGGAAGGCCTAGACAACGATGGGAGGACCGAGTTAAGGAAGACCTCAAAATGCTAGGAGTACGGAATGGAGAAGAACAGGCAGCACACAGAGAAACATGGAAGGAGATAGCGGAAGCGGCAATGGGCCTAAATGGCCTGGATTAAGCCTTAAAAAAAAAAAAAAAANAAAAAAAATGTAAAAATAATATTTTAAAAAAGTTTAATATTTACCGATATAATGAGTGTTTAATGTTATAATAATGGCCCTGTATGCGAGTTATCGCGCCCCATCCTAGATTAAACGAGTTCGCTTGATATCTTATTGAACATAAAAAATAATGAAGGATATAAATTATAACTAAACGCATTTCAAATTATTCTCTTGATTTTTTTCAGTAGACCTTTTTTGTTTATGGAAAATACACATGAGGTCTTATCATTTTTTATGGGCAGGTACCCAAATTGGTATGCAAATTCATATTCATATATAATATTATAATGTGTATGTAAAATGAATCTCATCTTACACAATATCGATGAATAACTCATAGAAACTCATGGGCCCTCACACGAACATATTCAGTGTGGTCTATTATCTTCTCGAAGAATAAATGATAAAAAAAATAATAATAGCAAATATATATCAAGATAACTATATTCACTCTGTTATTCTCTAAAAAATGCTATTTTCCATCAGAATCTCTAATATTGATAGGTACTTAATATATTTTAATACAATTTTCTAAGAAGAGATTTTTGGATACACTTCTCAAGTAACGGGTTTCAATATTTATCGACGTTATACTGGTTAAAACAGTATAAGAGTTACAAAATCTGTTATTCAAAATTCCAAAAAGAAACGGTGCCCCTAAAGAACACGTCACTCAACATACTATATGTATAGTGTATATGTCACCGGCAATATGAATAATTCAGGTATTTTGAAAAATGCCAAGGCATTATGTATACTGACGACCCATTTTAGGTAATGTAAATAAAACATATGATTTTCAATATTATTTTATATATAACCTAGGTATTTTATGAAATACCTAGGCGTTATGTAAAGTACCAATTTTTTTTAGGCAAAGTAAAAAAACAATTTATCATAATATGTTATAATATTATATTAAGATTCTTAAAATTATAATATATATTATTACTCATATTACAAAATCTAATTTTTATCTACTATTATATTTGTATACATAGGTATTGCTATATTATTATTGTTATATTAAATACTATTATTTATACATTTTACTTACCACTATCTACTTATTACTACATGTTGTAGAAAAATGGCATTTTGAAGTGCAAAAAACATTATTTTTAAGGCAAATGCATTTTTTATTTTGAAACTTGATCTTACAAACACATTTAAAAAATCATTGGCTAGTTCCTGCCGACTGTTCTTACGCCACTTTTGTGCCTGTTGGAACATTGTAAATTTGTAGTAGCTTTTTTGACATATTATAGTGAACTGACTTCTGGTGTATCACTGCTTCAGAAATTCAGAATTTTAATCTTCATTGCACCAAATCGTGCACACGCGGACACGGTGCATGCATTCACGATAAACTATAACTTATAAGTAAAGTCACCGGTAATAGGCGATACTCAATTCTATTTACTTTTATCATATTTCCTACTCCACCTTAGGCATTGTACATAATACTTAGGCAAAGCTTGTATTATGTATATTTCCGAGTGATTTTTGGCATTTTATACAATTCCTAGGCATTTTGTAAAATACCCGATTCTCCATATTGCTGGTAACATATACAATACATAACAAGAACAAATATTCGAAAAAATGCACGCAAAACAAGTTTTTTAAGTAGTACGAAGGTATAGAAAAATAACTATATTAAAAATGGGCGAGTGTGATTAAATTCAAACTGATACTTTATTTAAATCATACATTTTTTTTCCTACATTAAAGGTATAAACATAATGCAATCACAGCTACTTCGTATGTTGTGCTGTGTCAACCAAATCGCATTGTGATTGTACGTTACTTTTTTGGTATCATGTAATAACCAACCGTCTATATATAATATTATATATACCTGCAATAACTGACTATTGCTCAATTTTTAAACCATTATGGTTACCAGTGGTAACCTGCCCTTGCGAGACACGACACACGACGTAGCTGTTAATCCGGCTTTATGTATATTATTACAATATCATGATGTTCCGAATGGCTTCGACCACCAAGACGGTAAATAATTTGACAGTTTTTGCAGTGCATGCAGCCGGACCATCATGATGTGCACGGACATGTCGTCAAACAGGGCGAGGTATAACTACACGTGGATGGCGCATCTGCGCAGCCTGAACCTGACGCAGGAAGATCTGCAGTACCTGCTCAACATCACGTCGTTCGATCCGGTTGACGACGGCGGTGATGTCCCGTCAACCCATCACCACCCGTATGACACCGGTTGCTACAACTGTGGCGGCGCCGTGAAGAGCTACTCGCTGCTGTTCCGGGCGGCGCACGGCTACGTCAGCCTGTTCCTGTGCGTGTTCGGCGCGCTAGCCAACGCGCTCAACATCGCGGTGTTGACGCGCAAGGACCTGGCCGGTTCGCCGATCAACCGGATACTGTGCGGCCTGGCCCTGGCCGACCTGGCCCTGATGGTCGAGTACACGCCGTTCGCGTGCTACATGTACCTGACCACGGCCAAGAAGGAGGAGTTCTCGCACTTTGGCGCCGTGTACGTCCTGCTGCACACGTACGTGTCGCAAGTCCTGCACACCACGTCCATTGCGCTCACGCTCGTCCTGGCCATGTGGAGATACGTCGTCGTCAAGTGAGTAAATTCAGTGACGGATAATATTATTATCGATTCGGATCGATCGAATAGTATGTAAAAGTCACGTAATCTGTAATGTGTACTCTTATCGCAGACTGCAGACGTAATCAGAAATATTTGGCTTCCAGCTGCTTATGTTTCCCCCCCCCAACACATTTTTCGAATTTTCCCAATTTATTATACCAAGCGCGTCGCGGAGCGTACCTTAACGCTGACCATCCGTAACAATAAAGTGTATATGTTAACGTTATATCATTTCCGGCACATTGTGTTATCATTATAAATTAATCACAAGTACCAAGTACACAAATACAAATCTATTGTCCACCAACTACAACACAATAAATATTTACAGTCAGTGACGTGTGCCCATAAGGGGCCTAAGGGGGCTTCAGTCCCTTCCATTGGCCGTGTTATTATATATAAGCCTTATATAGTTAAAGTCAAAATTCAAACAATAATATTTCTGAAAACGGTTTTAAAAAATGTTTTCGCTTATTATCAATTATTTTGTAGAGGTTATTACAGCTACTGGATATAGTAATAACAACCTAGTATTATTGTATAAAGTAACGGATATAAAATTTGGATTTACTTTGTTGAGTTCCTTCCCCTCCCCCCCCCCCATTGGAAAATTCTGGGTACACCACTGTTTATTGTCAACTCACATTTTTCTCGTTATGTTTACTCGTTCACCTATAGGTTATAACTATAGGCGCTGAATATTTATGAATAATACAAAGCTACAATATTATAATGCACAACAATAATATACGTACGTACCTACGTCCAAGTTTCAATTTTATTGATAGTCAATCACAGTAATATTAGTAACTTATGAACTCACTTCGAAAATACTAGTATTCGTATGATGATAAAATAATACCTGTATAATATTCCTATATGACTTTTCAGAATCATACGCTATGTATGAACTAATATAATTTGTATATAAGTAGGTTGTTAGTTTGTTATTTCACCCGAAACAATCTACCAGGAACACCTTAAATGGTTATTACAAAATGTGCAAAATCAATGCCTTATTTAATATGCACACCTTGCAAGGGGTATCATCTCATGTCATAATAACAAATAATTCCTGGAATAACATAGATTTGCTTAAAGTGATTTTTTGTTTATTCTCATTTTATATAGTTTATTAAGCGGGGCATTACCCCAATAAGGCAATGTATAATATTCATCAGATACAAAAAATAGTATGTGCGAAAATATTAAACAGAGTATTAGATCATACTAGAATGATATACGTAAACATAACATAACTATATAATCGAATGCCAATCGAATATAATATAAATACTAATGGAGATAATTTTGTCAAAATACCTACTCATAAGATGAGTGATTAAATCTTTGTATTCTAGTGTATTCCAATCACGAAATGAATATAAAGCAAGTAATAAAAAAATATGTATTCAACCAAGATTGAACAATGATTTTGGCATAGTAAATATAAATCATACTAATTGAGAACGATACGTTACAAGTTATAATAATTTATAAATATAAATCAATTAATACAATTATTGCAATATAACTTGATGAATCGAGTATTTAATATTTAAATCAATGAAACAATACATTGTTCTTCATTTACTTTATGTTCCATCTCAATATACGAGTACTTATTTGATAAATAATATATTAAATAATTATGTTTTACTTTTATTAAATATTTTCGTGTATATGCAATAAAATAAATGGCATTACTAAAAAATATTTGCATTTCGATTGAGTAATCTTGTAGTCGTACTGTATTTTTAGAATATATATTTTCTTCTTTTTTGTTAATTCAATTTAATTTATTAAATTGAACTGAAAAATCAATCATGTATTTAACTAAAGTACATTAGGCTAATATTGAATTCTACTTCAAGTCAATTACATTTATTCAGCTGATTTATTTTGTTCGTTATCACACTAGAAACCAGCTACTGTGATGATTAAATATTCTGAAAAATAATACTACTTACTATTTTAAAGCAACATGAACATTTTATCCTGTTATACATTTTTTGAGTCTATTCATAAGGTAGAATCGGATTGAGACTAAAAGTAAGAAAATTCTACAGTCTACAGTAAAACAAATCGGCTAAATCGTAGGTAGAAGAGAATAGCAATATTCAGGTACCTACCAATATATTATACCTATAGATAAATTATATCATATTGCATATGAGTTCCATTAAAGTACTTTTTTTGTATAGATAATGATAGGCCACGATTTTTTTTTCAAACAAACTGTCCGCGACATCTATAGCCATTGGAAGTAACATTACATTTCAGATATAATTTATAAATGACATAAATACTTTTAACTAATGATAGGTAAGAACAAAATTACATTTTTAGCATAGGTTTTTTGGGTAATTGACAAAGTATCATTATATTATTTATAAGCCACTAGATTCGTATGAACCTTGTTGGATGTGTTTAGATACATTTGTCTGGATTTCATTAACAATATAACATTTCAGTTCCATGAATGACATTTAAGATCTGATTGATTGCTCGTGCTTGTGGAATCAGATTGGTTTTTTTTAGCTACATCAATTCACTGAAGATGTTCGAAAAAGTTACGTTAGTTATTATTTACATTATTATGTTTCCGCATAATTGTGACATAGGTAAATACTTTTGAAAGTTAAAAACAATTTTTATTGATTTATAATATTTGTTTTTTTGTTTATGAAAAAACACTCTCTGGGATGAACTTTAGGGCTTAAATAATATACCAATAGTATGTATATGATCTAAGACCTAGGATTTTCCATATGACCAGCAAATCAAATAGGTAAATATGTATAAACACCACATTGTTCCAAATATAATATATATACATAATATGATTCACGTATAACATCAAGGGAAATATTTTTCGCATCGAATTTCTGTGAATTTGTTTATCTTGCATGAAACTGTTTGACGCCAACGTTGGCAAGGTTTAAGGTAAAACCAATAAATTCGTGAAAACAAATATGCAGATGATGGATATACAGGCAATGCAGTTCAGCGATGTAAAAAAGTAGTTAAATATAGTTTCATACAATGTGTATATTATATTATTATCTTATACGGAAATATGAAATTAAATTACCATCGATAATATCGGAAAAATGTAATGTAATACCTGTTAACAAAAACATTTAAAGTTGAGCAATAAAATGCTTTTTTCTTCATTTTCGAAAATTGTAAAATACTCTATAAATGTATTTTTAACAAATCTAGAAAAACTTAATATATTTATTTTGTCAAATTTGATTTTATGCTCGAGGTGCATTGATTATCAACTGGTCAACTGACTGAAAGGCCAATAATTTAGTTCTGACAACTGCTGACAACATTAAACTGCAAACTATTCTGTTAAATATTGACAGCAAGACTGCAAGTACTCCATTTCAAATGACGATATTGGATGGGAAATACTCGTAGACACTGGTGTGTTTCAGTCTTTATTTCTTATAATAATTCTACGATTATTTATTACATATAAATAATACAAAGATGATATTACTCAATAACAGACATTTTTATTTTTTTTCCTTGGCTCATATTACAAGCAATTTTTACCACTATTCAGCGGTAAGCATTCAACCACTATCGAACTAAACACCAAATCTATACGAGAAACTGCTATAAATCTAACAAGAAAACACAACAATAAGAATTATTATTTGACGATTAAAACTGAGTTATTTACATAGTTACATAGAAAATTAAAATACAAAATACTTAACTGCATCGTTACTTTTATTATCTACACACAGATTTGTTTTATGAGTAAGATGTGTTTTTTATGTTTAGACACATTCGCTAATTGTTTGTTGCTGTTTAAGCACTTTTCATGTTTCAATTTCATGCTGCGTACAATCTTGATTACACACCTAAGTGCTGTAGCATTTTAATACATTACATTTACGACAAGTAGATAAAATTAGATAAGAAATAAAATTCTTTTTAAAATGCATTTATTTCGTTGTATTTTCCACTTCAATGTATCCAACCATCACGAAACCTGCAAAAAAAAAAAAAAAATAAATAATACCTTTGATGTAATAATGGAGAATACATAATAACAACATGTATAGATGTACATAAATGATTAAAATAATTATACAGTTCCTACGTTACTACCTAGCTGCTTAAGCTATACATAATCGTATACCAAATAACAATGGTAAAAAATCTACTAACAACAAAGTTACAGTATTTTGTAACTTTGTATAATTAGTATTTGATATAAAAATAGAAATAACGTTTATTTTTAGCTAATTTACATCGTTTTGCTCAAAAGATAGTTGAATGGGTATAAACTTTATAGTAACCCAACATTATAGCCATTTCGCTTAACACAATTCGTGGTCAGTGTTTATACTTTGTACGTACATATTATTAAGTTAATACATTATATGCAATAGTGTTAAATACATAATGTATATGTCACATCCATTTAGTGAAATCAATATTTTCATAAACTGTAAGCCCAGATACCTAGTGAAATTTTACAAAAATACATAATGTATACATCTATTTAACAAATTATTGAAAGTTGCTTAAGCTACACACCTTCTTGCATAGTTTTGTGAACAAAAATATAACAATAAATTATCTGTGATAAAAAAAAAATAAGTTGACATAATAAGTGTTTAATACTTACCTAATAATCTTTATGTTCGTATTTCGTAACATTCATAAGGTCGATACAACTGTACTCGTATAAATAGATAAATATAACATGTTTTATACAATTTTAAAGTATCTAATTGAAATAAAACGAAATATAATATGGTATAATATATTTTTATATTTTTGTTCATAAAACAATATAGGAAAATATAGTGTAAATAACTACAAATAATATATAAATAACTTACAATAATAATTTGTCTTATAATAATTTAGACATCCAGTTCACGAGAAGATTGATTTCACTAAACTTTTTAAAAATAGTTTAACTGATTTGTGGTGTAATTAAGGAAG